ACGGCCGCAACCGCCTCCACGGGCACGTGATGGGGGGGGGAAACACGAATGACAACTGCCTGGCATAGGAAGAAGAGGCATGGGTGCTGCTCCATGTCTACGGGTATTTCAGGCAAAGGGGTGTATGTTCTCAAAGATTTTCCTGCTGTGCTGAGGAAGACAGCCTTTCTTAGTCAGGCTGCCTGGTTTGCCGAGGTTGTTTTTGTTCTGCTCAACAAGGTTCTTGTAGGTAAAATAATGGGAGATGTTAAAAGCCAGTGTTTGCCACTGTGCTAGTTCACCTCTGTGGGTGAGACTTCACTCTTTATTCACAGCTCAGCACTGAAACTGCAAACCCATGGCTTTCAGTCATAGGCAAGCAGTGCCTGTGAGAGGCTTCTCTCGTGCCAAGAGCCTCGCTTATTCCAGGCTCAATCCAGCATCCATCCCACTCATGGAAATCCAATAAACAACCTGCTGACCCTGTGCTGCAGGCATTTCCTTCCCTTCAGGCAGGCCCTGTCAAGGCTGGCTGCCAGTTGTGAAGCCCTCAGGAGAGGCTGACATTACACCCACCTTTCAGGAATCAAAAAGGAGTTTCAGGACTGAATCACCACCAGCTAAATACCGGGCTTATACTGACTGGCACAAATCAGTGTTGGTTATTCTCCAGCCCATGGGTACCAAGGGATTTTGCTGGCTGTAAGCTGGATTGTCAAGGACAACACACTCCTGGCATTTTCTGCCTCCCTACCTACTGGCCACAACACCTGCTCAGGGCTGGAGTGGAGCAACCCGGCAGTGGTTCTGCCGTCAGCTGGCACTGCAGTGACTGCTGAGCAGCAAAAGCTGTGTGCTTCATGGCACAGCGCTGGCCTCCCAGCACTGGTGACGCAGGAATTAGGGTTTTTTACCCTGCTACAATCACGAGCATGGATAGGCGTTACGAGAAGTCACAGAATCACCAAAGCTGGAAAAGACCTTTAAGATGATCAAGTCCAGCCTAGGACCAACCCCACCACATCAGCCAGACCACGGCACTAAGTGCCACGTCCAGCCTTTCCCTGAGCACATCCAGGTACGGTGCCTCCACCACTTCCCTGGGAAGTCCATTCCCATGTCTAATGACCCTCTCTGTGAGGAAGGGCTTCCTAATATCCAACCTCAACCTCCCCTGCAGCAGCTTCAGGCCATGCCCTCTTGTCCTGTCACTAGCTGCCTGGGAGAGAGCCCAGCCCCACCTGACTACAGCCTCCCTTCTGGTGGTTGAAGAGAGTGATAAGGTTCCCCATGAGTCTCCTCCACCTAAACAACCCCAGCTCCCTCAGCCTGTCCCTGTAAGACTTTCCCTCTAGTCCCTTCACCAGCCCTGTTGCTCTCCTCTGGACCTGCTCCAGCACCTCAATATCCTTCTTGCAGTGAGGGGCCCAGAGCTGCACACAGGACTCGAGGTGAGGCCTCGCCAGTGCTGAGTGCAGGGGCAGAATCACATCCCTGCTCCTGCTGGCCACACTATTCCTGATACAAGCCAGGATGCCATTGGCCTTCCAGGCCACCTGGGCACCCTGCTGGCTCATGTTCAACTGGTTGTCAACCAGTACTTCCAGGTCCCTCTCTGCTGGGCTGCTCTCCAGCCACTCTTGCCCCAGTCTGTAGTGCTGCCTGGGGGTATTGTGGCCAA